GGCAGGATGCGATGTGTTTGCGCCAAACACCCTGAACACAATCCTGGCCTTGCGCACTTCTCTGTCCCTTACTTTCTTTCACCGGTCCTGCCACCTGCTATTCCAGAACGTCCTCACTGACGCCTGCACTACGCCATGCCCCGGGCCCGGTGCTCGAAATGCTGAGGCAGAGTTGCTAACACGGAACATGAGGAAAACAGAACAAAGACAGGCAAGAGGGTGTGGTGGAAGGAACCTGAGTTTTGGAGTCAGGCCGACCGGAGTCTGCCTCCTGGCTCTACGGCTCACCAGGAAGTCACCAGCCGGCTCGGCCTTTATCCCCACACCCCCCCCCCCCACCCCCGGTAAAACGGATGGTAAGAGGGCAGGTGTAGGGAACTGCTGAGACCACGGATGTGGAACAACTCAGAGATGAACCGGGTTCCAGCCTCGTGGGAGGCTGCTGAGTGGGTAGACTGGGCTCTAACTGGACACCCTGGGTGTCTCCGTCTCTGACCCTTGGGAGAAAGAATTCACCGGGGCCCTTCAGAGACCCAGCCGATGCAGGCTCTCCTGGTTGGGCACAGGCACACAGCAGAAGGCACGGACCGGACCAGCGTGGCTCTGGCATGTGGCCGGCCTCAGCAGGGGGCTGCCTCCCTCTCCCCTTCTGGGCAGGGGAAAGAAAACGAAGCTCGAGATTCCCCAGCCAGCTGGATTTTGTAATTTTTTCCAGTAGGAAAGACAAAAAAGAAAAAAAAAGGCCAAAGAGTTAAAAGTCCCCCATGAGCTCTGGGCCCCTTGGCCTGGGACTTGCCCCCTTCCAGAGCCAGGCGGGGCACCAAGGGGCGCAGCAGGAGCCGGCCGCCAAGCAGAGTAGAAAGGAGCACTGTCTAGTCTGTCATGTTTCATGTGTTAAAAAACCCAAACCCTGTGACTTCGCGGTGACCGGAGTGCCGCGACCGCACCCGTTGGCCCAGGGTGGGAAGCCACACCGTAGCAGTGTGGTGGTCACTGTGGGCATGCGACAAAGCGGCCAGTGAGGATGAGCCACAGGCACTCCCGGCCTCTGGCTGTGCCCTCCACCCCACGGGCTCTGCTCTGCCATCAGCTGCAGAATGTTCTCTGCACACAAGGCTGCTACTTGGTCCTGCAATCCACCTCAGAGGCTCTCCCCTCCGAGCTACCACCTGCTTCTGGCCACCAGCTTTCTCCCCTCACCTTAGATATCAAAGGCTTCAGTGCACTTGGATCCTTTGACTGAGTAAACCCACGTCAGGGATTCCGCCTGAGGAAATAATTTAGCCCGTGCACGAAGATTTATATAAAGATGTTCATCACAGTGTGATTTAAAACGGTGAAAGGTTACTGACGATCAAAAGAACCAGCAATGGGATAATGTGGTGGGCCGTGCAACGGATGGCAGATCGTGGGAACTTGATACAAATCTCAGACACCTGCCTTTTTTTTTTTTTTTAAGAGCCCCACAGGTGACTCTGATCCACACCAGGGCTGAGAATCACTGGGGTCATTGGATGGGATACGTTCCATTAGAAATGAGGTTTCAGAAGAGTTCTTATATACTCTGAAAAAAATGCTTAAAACGTACTAAAGGCAAAACCAAATTAACTGGGAACTGGACAGTTTCCCCAGGAATATCTCAACTGTCTGAAGGTGAAAAACCAAAAAATAACCAAAATGAAACAAAAATGACCCCCAAACCCTAGAGCCTAGGTAGATACATGCTAACATGTTGTCTTAGCTCCAGATGATGGGCTGATGGGTGTTTTCTCATTTCTAGTTCTTTGTTACTTTCAACGTTTTTTTAAAACTAAGAACAGGTGCTATTTTTATCACCAGAGAAACAACTAAAAGGCCCTGGGGAGGGCATCCTAACCTCCCTCTCAGCACTGTGCTGACTGCCACCCAAGGCACCATTTCCCACACCACCCCCATGTGGCTGGTGCTCCTTCTTGGGCTCACATGTGCTTTGTAATCAGTATTTTAATTAACCCTCCAAACAATCTTGCATGGAAACTGTTGTTATCCCATCTTTCAGATGAGGAGAATTGCCTAGAACTAAATCTAAGGTTCGAAAACCATCCAGGTAACATGGTGATGATTCTTGGCCAGGACATTTTAGGCTCTCTGGCTTCCCTCCTGGCTTTCCAGAAAAAAACTACTTGGAAGCAGATGAATAGGACAGAGAGCATGACAAATCTGTCATATTTCATTGATGCTAGGACACAGACTTCTTCACACGCTAACATCTCTGAAATCTGGATGGGTCTCATGACTGATGGTATCCAACCGTAATCGGCAGCGCCCTCTCCTCTTTCATAATGGTACCTCAAGTATGGTGCATCTTAGGACTGGACGGCCGCTTAGGCTCCATGAAATGTTCCCTGTTGACAACAGGGAACTCATTGTTGACAACTAAACTCATTGTCCTATCCTCAAAACACTATTTAATGACTATGTAATATTCTAGCAGATTTTTTATTCTAGCAGATATTTTAATTTATTTAACCAGTTGCCTATTTGGAACACTTAGTCTGTTTTATGATGTGACCATTATAAATACTGCTACTGGGAACACCTTCGCATTAAATTTTCTCTTTTTCTACTTGTGGGCATCACCCTCTTCTCCCAGAAGTCTTGGGAAACATTTTGACATTTCTTGCCCCATAGTTTTTACCTTTGCAGACTCACCTAGTCATTTCTTCCCCATGATACCTCTTCCTGGTGTCACCACCAGAGGGCTCTCTTCTGAGTGCCCCTGACAGTCCCCTGGTCTCTGCTTCCTGTATTAACTGCTCATCGCTGTATTACTGGTCAGACATGACTTAGTCTTAACCATATCTCTGCTGAAAAACTGATATCCCCTACAGGGCGAAGTCTGCACTTCTGGCCTAGCATCCCAGGCTCTGTCAAATTTGGCTCCAGCTTCTCTCTTGCAGCCCTCTCCTTACCCAAACTCATGGCCCTAGACAAAGTGATTGTGAAGGGTACTGCCGCCAAGTCTTTGCTCCCTCAGTTAACTCCATAGCCACCCCACAAAGAGAGGTCCTTTCTTTTTCCAAACCTAAACCATCAGACCCAGGTCAAGTTTCACCTTCCCTATGAAACGTTTTATGGCTCATTTGATCCTTATAACCATCTGGGGATGTAGACTGATAGGTATTCTAATGTTCATTTCACAGGTGAAGACACTGAAGTTTAAAGAGATTAGGTGGCTTGTTCAAGGTTGTACACGCTTGATCAAAAGTACAGAGCCAGGCTTTGAACTCCAGGGCTTCTGTCCTTAAACCCAATGTCAAGTGCCAAGTACAACCATAAACTTCTTCTGAGGAGCAACTTTTGCCCAGATCATATATCGAGCAATACCTACCAAGATTCAATAGCCTTTGGATTCTAGACACATACACGACAGTAACAAGATCATTTTAAGAGGGAAGACACCTCATGTCTGTCAGTTCCCAGCAATACAAGGGAAGGACCAGACCAGTTATTCCGTTTCTCCTTTTAGGGATGGGAAGACAACTGAATTTTTCTTGAATTATACTGGCTCTCAAATTATCCCTAAACCTGACAGGGTTGGCTGGGCCTGAGGTCAGGACAAAGGATGAGAGCTGCCTCACTCGGAGACAAGGAGAAGGACATGGGGAATGTGCATTAACTAAGGGCTTTAGAGGACCTCGGGGAAGTAGTTCAAAGGAAGCAAAAAGAGAGTGCATCCCTCCTGTTATGTGACCATGACATTGCCTGAAGCTGAGGTAGCTTAGAAAGTGAAGCCTCAGTACGAGATGGGAGACAAGAACAGGACGATGGTGGCACTAGGCTGCTGCTCCCCACCCCCCACTTTGCAGACAGTATGCCCTGGCTGAAGGGAAAACAGGTGCTTGCTATTATTCTGGGGCTCACTGAGACACGTGACCGAGTCATAGTGAGGGGAAAAAAATCTTAACAACATGTAACCGTGGCTCACAGGGAAGGTTAACCGAGAGTCACTGTCAGAGTGTGCATGTGAAATGTACTGTCTGACATATACTCACCTTCTGTCATTTAAGACAATAAAATGCTACGAGTTAAAGCAAAGACAGAAACAAACAGACCGGGCCGGTGAACAGGGCATCCTAGGCCGGTCCCTCACCCCCAGTCCGGCCAGGCTGGCTGTGGTTGCCATCACCCGCTGGCTCAGGATGAAGGGGACTCTGTGCTCCCAAGAGAGAAGGGCTGTCGGCAAGGCCGCCTCCATGTTCTTTCCTATACCGAGTGACCCAGGGCCCCAAGCCAAGTTCTCCATTCTCCTTGGCTAAGACTAGGCTGAGTAGAGAGGTATTAGATGAAAGATTCCCACTGAAGCTGGGACAGCTGGTACTTTCTTTGGTTTGACCTGATGACTTGAGAGCCCCACAGTAACTTCTTGCTTCACAGGGCAGGCAGGGGACATGGTGAGGGAACCGAGGCTAAGGAGGCTGACAGTCCATGGAGGTGGGTAACAACTATTCCCCAATCTTCTGCACACTCACCTTGGGCACACCTAAGAAGTGAATACCCGGGGCACCTTGCTTTCTCAAGGGTGGAGAAGAGGCCCTTTATAAGAAAAGGGCATTGATACAGAGAGGGAAAGGATAGGCTTTGGGACTCTCTGGCTCCTCCACTGGTTAGCAAGTCATGTCTCTTTTCTGAGCCTCACTTTCCCCATTTGTTAAGTGCAGAGGATCCGCAGTGAGAGCAGGTGTGTGTGAGGTCTGGGCACTGTATTTACACGCAGCTGGTGCTACTGTCCAGGGAGGGGAAAGGTCTTAACATTCACAGGGGCAGCATGACCTCTTTAGGCTAAGAGGTAAGGCGAGGAGAGGGTGCCCTTCTGGCCTCACAAAACACACACACGCATGCACACATACTCTTCTAGGTGAATTCAACAACCAGATGAAGAGCTGGCTTCCTGTGACCCCTGAGGTACATTTCTCAGCCCTGACCAAACACAGACTTGTAAATGCCAAGAAGCTACTCACGGGCTCAATCTTCAGAGCATTTCGGTAGCTGCCGAAGAAAGCAGCCTGGGCCTTGAGGAAGGCCCTGGCCACCCCGTCACCAGTGGTTGTGGACACCTTCTTCAGCCGGTTCTTCAGGGAAGAGATCTGGTGACGGAAAGAAAGGAGACACAGGTTGAGGGCAGGGTGGGAGCATGGCCAGCTAAGCCCAACATGTACAGAGCTCTAGAAATTCCCCAGGGGCTGGGGGGTGGATTTAATACTGCAGCTGCTGGGAAGACAAAACTGCATTCAGTGTTGGGGCAGGTTTCTGGACTGGAATAGAATGTCGCTCCTATTAGAGCATATTAGGTAAGAACAAACACACTTTCTAAGTAGTTTCAATAGGCCAGGTAAGTGCTTTCACGTAAATTTTCTAATTTAATTCTTTCAACAATCCGGCAAGGAAGGGATTAGTGTCCCTGCCTCATGAGGGGGAAAGAGCCTCAGAGAGGTTAGAATACATGCCTAGGAACAAACCCAGGAATGGCCAATTGGAATATGAATTGAAGGTCTTATAATCTGAGCCCATACTACACAAATTTTCTTGGTTCCAATTCTACTTCCTCTTTAAATTACTTACATATTATTACTTTCTTATACATTAGAGATAAATGGCTTATTTAGAACATACAATATATATCTCACACCTCATACTTTATGTATTAAATGTTATAAATTATGTTTATTAAATATGTAAGGTATATATACATATAAATTATTACATACTTCATACTCTAAAGAAACAGTAGCAGCTAACAGATATTTCCTCAAGAAATTTTAAAAAATAGACAAGAAAGCCATGGAACTGGGAAAAGAAGCCAGAAATACTTTTAGTATATAAACGTAAACTATAAGGACTTACATGGTGGCTAGAACTAGATTGCAGATTTGACCTAAGGATCTCCTAGTGGTCAAAGCAAAAAGAGAAACACAAGTGAGATTCTCTGGGTCCATGTATTACAAACAAACCAGCTGTACAAATGAAAACACATTTTCCTTGAAGTGAGAACTGAAAGAGATTTTTCCTATGACTACTCAATGAATCAAAGACTGTGTGACATGGTGGCTGCTGTTCTCAATATAAAAGACAACATAAGCTTCCTGGTCTGTTTCGAACATGCTTTCCATCCACCTCAGGATTCCACACTGCACAACTCCTGGGCACTCCATTCACACTGTGTTCTATATGAAAAGTACCCCTGGAACATGACAACGTGGTAGCCTTGAGTCAATAGTGAGCAAGACCAGACACGAGCCCTGCCCTTATTAAGTTTACATGCCAGCTAGGAAAATACCAATCCATGTGACATTGCTGCTGTGATAAGCATATGATAGAGCTCACTAGGGAGGTCAAAGATTCCTAGAGGGAATCAGGCTTGAACAGAAATCTGGAGGGTGGAGGCTCCTGCAGGGCTCAATGAGGTAAGCATAAGACTTTGGCTCAGGTTCTGATCTCACTGTTCATGGGTTTGAGCCCTGCATCAGGCTCTGTGCGGACAGCTCAGACCCTGGAGCCAGCTTCATATTCAGGGTCTCCCTCTCTCTCAACAATAAACAAATATTTAAAAACTTCTAAAAAAGAAAAAAAAAGAAATCTGGAGGGTGAATTATAACTTGGCAAGGAGGGGAAGGAAGGGTACGAAGTACAGGGGAAAATCTGGGTAAGGAGGAGTTCAGAGAATAGAAAGAACTGTCAGTTCAGTAGAGAGAATGGTGGGGAATATGGCTTAAAATGAGGCCAGAGGAAAAGAGGTGCTGTGAGTACATTAAGGAGTTTTTTCCTTCATCTGGAGGGAAAGGTAAACCTAATGACTGTTTTTAAGCATGCAGGTGACATGTCAAGGGCCCATCTCAGGAATGTGTATGGACTTAGATATAGGCCTATGTAATGGCCTGATATTATTTAAGGATAAAATAGAAAACTTAGATGCAGGTGGCCCCTGAATCATCTCCAAATTTTTAATATGAATGAGAGATGATCATTTTTCTGGACACAGGCTCCACAGTTTTCCTCAGATCCCTAAAGGTGCCTGTGAACCTAAAAATATTAAGCATCACTGATCTGGGATAGATTACATAGACCAGAAATGCTCCAAGGACATGATTTCTTATTAACAAGCTTCTGATAAGGGATTTTTTAGTGGCTTACGAAGATATATTTTACATACCATAAAATTTACTCATTTGAAGTATAGAGTTCAGTGGTTTTTAGTATAAAGACAAAGTTGTAGAACTATCACTATTATCTAATCCCCAAACATCTTTATCACCCCCGAAAAGAAACTCATCTTGGGGCACCTGGGTGGCTCAGTCAGTTAAGTGTCTGACTTCGGCTCAGGTCAGGATCTCACGGTTCGTGGGTTCGAGCCCCATGATGGGCTCTGTGCTGACAGCTAGCTCAGAGCCTGTAGCCTGCTTCAGATTCTATATCTCCCTCTCTCTCTGACCCTCCCCTGCTCATGCTGTCTCTCTCTCTCTCAGAAATAAATAAAACATTAAAAAATTTTAAGAAACTCATCTTATTGTCAGTTGCTTTTCATTCCCCACCAATCTTCCTCCCCTCCCTCCTTCACCCTGTCCTAGATCACCATTAATCCACCTCCTGTCTCTGTGGATTTGCCTAGTCTGGACATTTCATACCAGTGGAATCATACAGGATGATTTTGTCACTGGCTTCGTTCACTAGCATCATGCTCATTATAAACAAGGTTACTCCATGTTGTAGCACCTGTCAATACTCCATTCTTTTTCACAGGTGAATAATATCCCGCCATATGGACAGACTGCATTTTATCTATCCTATGGATTTATCTAAGTAATGGGCATCTGGGATGTTTCCACATTTTGGTTATTATGAATAATGCTATGACTATCCACGTAGAAACTTTTATGTGGAGACAGCAGAGATTTTGAAGCAAGAAACTACAGGATAAAAAAAATCCTGTTGCCAGAGCCTATAAAGAGAAGCTGGGAGAGCACGCGAAGTCACGGACCACAGTGCTTGGCATGCAGAGGGTCACCACCAAGTGTCTTCTGAGCCGAGGGGAAAAATCCTGTGCTGTTGCTGCAGGGCGTGCCATATGTCTGAACAGTAAGGCAGGGCCAGGACTGCTGCCCTTTTCTTGAAAGTCAGAAGGGATGGGAGTTTGCAAAGAGGGGGTGGCTACCCTGCCTCTACTTGGAGGTAGGCCAAGGAAAACGGTTTTCCTCTAGAAGCAGTTCTGACTATGTCTCAATACCTGGGTGTAAATATCCCACTGATGGTGACCTCTCCTGTTTGGGGACACATAAGCCCCGGTGCCACAATGGTGAGAGCCCATGAAGAGCAATGCAGGCCACTCAGCACTCAGGCAGACTCTGCCACGGACTTTCAACTTGAAACACGCTTTTGAAACATGTGGAAAAGAAACATGCTTTAGTAAAATGCTTAAAAAAAAATACTGCCCACTTCCCACCCTCCCAGTAATAGAAATGCTGCCTCTTCCAGGGACTGGGGTGACATTTCCTCCTTTGAAATGGTGCACACCACTGTCACTCTTCTAGCTCCTCGAAGGCCTTGGGCCACCTGTGCTGCAGATTATTCCTCACTTAACCTTCCCCGGCCTTTCCCTTTCATTCGGGAGGTGTTTAATTACCTTGGATTCACAACGCTGCACTTCAGGTGAGCCTCTCCTAATGGCCTCATTATCATTTTACACAAAGAAGTCGTTGCTGATTGTAACTGAGCAAATATGAGTGTGCGCTTTCCCGCCCGCCCCAGCTGGTCTGAAGCCAGCCAAGTGGTCCTGGGCTCTCGCTGCCCCCGTGACCACTTAGGCCAAGAAGTTCGGAAGACCTCTCCTCACCCTGCAACAGGGAGAAGCTTCTGTCGGCACTTCAAGCTTTGAAACTTCAAGTATATGTGCATTTGATGACCGGTGATAGCATTTTGTCCTTTAAATAAAATTGAGGGATGATGAAGGCTTAACATAAGTCTTGAGTCATACATCTCAAGCTGAACTTGCTGGGAGGACTCATGGGGGGGTTCTGGTCAAATCATTAACACTGGGGTTCATCAGGTGTAATCTGGGGGCGACAGAAATGCTGATGAGGATGGCTTCCTCCTTTAATGAGGTATCAGGAGGAAGACAGAAAACAAAGAGAAGAGGATACTAAATTGAATGCATCAGCTTCTCTTTCCCCCTCTCCTCCTGTATCTCATCTCAGTCACAGCACTGTCACCCCACTCATCTTCCAGGGCCAGAGGCAGATGTTAGACTCCACAATCCTCCTTCCCCACCCACCACCATCCTCCACATCTTACCAGCACCTCCCCAAATAGGTACCAAGTCTGCCCTCTCCTCTCTGTGCCCCTGACCCTGGCACTATGCCATGCAGTTCCATTCATCCTCTCTGGCCCAGGCCGGTGGACTAGCTTTCTATATGAGCTCCTGGTCTTCAGTGTCCCCTCAATGCCCTCACCCATAGCTGTCCCAGTAATGTCAGAAATATCCGATTCTGGTCATTTCAATCCCTCCATCAAAATCCTTCAATGACCCCACCCTATGCCATCACCACCTGCAGAAAATCATCACAACATCTCAAGAGTAGTTGGTGACTCTCTGCTCAACTGGCCTCACTTCCCTCAGGCCCAATTAACGTATACTAGACAGGTAGTGAATTACTATCTAGAAGCCTACACTACTCTCCAGCCATAAACATGCTGACTACTCAAAGAGCATTGTCTCTTGTCCCTTCCTGTCCTATTTGTGACCATCCATTCACCCTTTGAGAGAGCATCCAGATGCCCATCAATGGGGGCCAATTAATTATACCACATCCTTACAACGAATACTGCATAGCTGCTAAAAAGTATGTGACAGTACTTGAACTGATGTGAAAAGATGTCCACACAATACTGCCAAATGGGAGGGAAAATGAAAGTTGCAGAGCAATATAAATATCATGAATCATTTAAAAATTTCTCTCTCTCTCTGTATATATATGCTTATATATGTAGTAAAAATCTAAAATGCCATGTATCAAACTTGAACCATGCAGGATACTTTCGTTTTGTTTTACGCACTTTTGATTGTTTTGATTATCCTTTATTAAAAAGCATATGC